CCTCGTGCCAGTTTGTCACCGTGGGTCAGGCGGAGCTGCCACCCTTGGGACACTGGGTGCAGGTGGCATGTCCAGCCCGCCTGGACCTTTCTGGTGAGTGCATCCCCCCCAGCCAGAGGATCCATGTCTTGCCCCCGTGATGTTGAGGGAGGAGAAGTTGGGGAGCCACGGGGAGCTGACCATGAGCCTTGGCAGGCGGCTGGAGTGACACCCCCCCTATCACGTACGAGCACGGGGGGGCTGTGGTGGACGTGGCAGTGCTGGTGGACGGGTGCCGGCCCATTGGTGCCCGAGTGCGGCGCATCGGCGAGCCAGAGCTGCGCCTCATCAGCCTTGGCGGAACGCCGCAGAGCGAGGCAGCGGTGGAGCTGGTGTGCCGGGAGCTGGAGCACTTGCGGGATTACTGCCAGCCGCACGCGCCAGGTGAGGCATCACCAGCCGTACGGCCTGGCTCCGTACCCCCGGCATCCCCTTGGTGTCCTGACGCCATGGAGTGCGGCGCATCGGCGAGCCAGAGCTGCGCCTCATCAGCCTTGGCGGAACGCCGCAGAGCGAGGCAGCGGTGGAGCTGGTGTGCCGGGAGCTGGAGCACTTGCGGGATTACTGCCAGCCGCACGCGCCAGGTGAGGCATCACCAGCCGTACGGCCTGGCTCCGTACCCCCGGCATCCCCTTGGTGTCCTGACGCCATGGTGGCCCTTTTTGGGGATGATAGGGTGAGGGAGCAGGTAGTGTAGCAGGCATCAGCTTTGCTTTCTCCTCTTGTTTCCAGGAGCCTTGCTTAAAGCTGCTTTCATCTGCACCCAAGTTGTGCAGTTCCCCTCTCAAAAACCCTTGCAGGCCCAGCTGATGGAGAGCTTTGGGGGTGGGTTTGAGGTGCACACCTGGTCCAAGCTTCCCCACGGGTCTGGCCTCGGTAAGTCTGCAGGGAAAGGGCTGGGGACTCCCTCCTGCTGCCAGCACTGGATGGGGCATCCCCCTCGCACAGCCGGGAGCCCAGCCCTGTCTCTCATGGGCATGTGTGGTGCCTCGCTGCCCTGGCCCCGCCTGTGCTCCCTGCAGGCACCAGCAGCATCCTGGCAGGAGCGGTGATGGCATCGCTGTACCGGGCGGCCGGGAAGGCTGCCAGCACCGAGTCCCTCATCCATGCCGTGCTGCACCTGGAGCAGAGGCTTACAACAGGTAGCAGTCAGGGGGAGCAGCCAGCCTGTGGGGTGGGGGGGCCCGGCTGTGGCTGAGGACCCTCTGCCCTGCAGGTGGCGGTTGGCAGGACCAGGTGGGTGGGCTCACGCCCGGCATCAAAATCGGGAGGTCGAAGGCCCAGCTACCGCTCAGGGTGGAGGTGGAGAAGATCCTGGTGCCCGATGGTTTTACCCAGACCCTCAGCGATCACTTGCTGCTGGTGTACACTGGGAAGACTCGCCTGGCCCGCAACCTGCTCCAGGTAATGACTGGGTGCCGCAGGCTCTGGCCTCTGCTCCCCCCATGGCCTTTGGTGCCTGTCCCCTTCGCTGGTGCAGGGCTTTGCCTCCCTGATGGGAGCTGGCACCGAAGGCTGTGGGTACAGCACTACCTCCCTGAGATGTTCTGGCCTCTTGTAGGACGTGGTGAGGAACTGGTATGCCAGGCTGCCTTCTGCCGTGCAAAACGCCGATGCGCTGGTGAGCAATGCCGAGGAGTGTGCCCAGGCCTTGAGGCAAGGTGCGAGCCCCCTTCCCTGGGCCAGGCCGGCCCTTTTAATAACTGAAGAAAGACAAACTTCCCCAGGGAGAGTCTGCGTAGTCCTGGGGGCCAAAAGCTGGGGGGTTGCAGACTCCTGCAGCTGCAGAAGCCTCAAATCCTCCCCCCCAGCCCAGCATATTACAGGCAGTGCCTCAAAATTCAGCCTTGAATGAAGACTTTGAGGAAGGGGGGTTAGACATGCCGAATCTGGTTGATTTTCTGTGAGCCATCTGTGATGGGGCTGGGGGCCCTGCTTAGCCTGTGCGGTGGATTCATTAGGCCTTTGGCTGCTGGGGTGCTGCGGAGGGGAAGCCAGAGCATTAAAGCAAGCAAATTCTCCCCCTGTGGAGGATTAAAAATAAACAGCAATGTGACAGGGCTGGGTTTGCTTGCTCGGCAGGCAGAGCTGGGAGGAACTGGGTAGAACAAGGCAGCAGAATTTAGCTTGGGCTGAGCAGGAGAGGCAGGGGCAGGTTTCTGCCCCATGGGCAAGAAATAGAGGCGAATTGTTTGTGATATCCTCTCTCCTGCAGGTAACCTGCCGCTCATCGGCAAGTGTCTGGACCGCTACTGGCAGCAGAAGAAATCCATGGCCCCTGGGTGCGAGCCACTGGCTGTCGGGCGGATGATGGATGCTCTCCGGCCCTACGTCTACGGGCAGTGCTTGGCTGGGGCTGGTGGTGGTGGTTTCCTTTACGTCTTAACCAAAGGCCCTCGGCAGAAAGAGGCTTTGCAGCAAATTTTAGCAAAAACTGAGGTGAGATGTGAGCTCCCAGGGAGTTCGCTGTTGCAGGCAGCTTGCAGAAGCTTGCTGTATATGGCACAAACACTGGGAGCATCTCACCCCACCACAAGTGAGATTGCTTGTTGTCCCCTTAGCCCTCCCCAGGACCTTGGAGGTGAGAACAGGTCCCTTGCCCCAACGTGTAACTCCTTTCTCCACCCCCCACCAGGGACTGGGCAACTTCAGCATCCACAGCATTGAAGTGGACATGAGCGGTTTCTCTATGGAAGTTGTGGGATGCGATCTGAAGGACGGTGCTCGCCCCAGAGAGGATGTGGCTGTGTGAAGGCCTTCAGCCCTGACCTGTTCCTGGCAGATATGCAGGGGAGGGAGCAGCCAGCTGCCTTCCAAAGCAGGGAAATCCCTGCTGCTTTCGAGGCACCTCCTTCAGCTGGCTCCAGCAGGTGCCTTAGGTCTTGATGTGGCCTTTTTGTGCTGCTATTTGCCTCAAAAGCCACAGATGCTCGAGAAACTGTGATGGACTGGGCAGGCAAAACCGTCCCTGGAGGGTGGCCTTGCTGGAAGGACAGTTTGTTAGGGCCTCCAGGCTGATTTTGGGGTCTCACTCCACTTTTCGTGGTTCTCCAAAGGGAAAAGAATAGCATTTGTGATGCTGCCTCTAGCAGGAAGCTTCCTGGTCTTCCAGCAGCAGGGACCCACACTGCCCATTTGGCATGCAACGCTCCTGCACCAAGGAAGCACCTGGATGTGGAATCAAGCCCTTCTCCCATTCTGAGAGACTATTTCTGCAGTGAGTTACTAGTCCCTGCAGTCTCTTTGAATAAAAAATGCTTGTTCCCAGCATGTGTTTATGCCCCTCTGTCCCTAGCAGGGCTCCTCCCTCCCCGCTGGATAGCAAAGGCCCAGGAATGCGGGGACAAAGCTCTTCCGGGGTGGATATGGCAGAACCCACGTGCAGGGGCTGGACATCGCCCGCCACAGCCCTGGCTGACGGGGGACAGCAAGGGAGAGCGGGCTGGCACCAGGTACTATCTCAGGGGCGTTTGTACTCATGATGTGCCTGTGCCAGTGCCAGTTGTGGGAGGAGGGCAGGACGACCCTCTTGATGCCGTGGCACAGGGTAGAAGAGGAGAAACCATGCATAGCTCTTGTCCTGCATCTCTACAGCTCCCTCTGGGCTCATGGACACACACACCAACCGAGGTTGCTGCTCAGCTAGACAAGGTTTATTTACAGAGTAGCTGTACAGGGCACAGCCCCACTTCCTACAGTGGCTTTCTAGGGATTTTTCCAAGCACCCTCCCCACAAGGAAATCATTCCTTTTCCCTTCTACAGAACAGTTCCCATCACCACAAGGAGAGTGCCAAGGCTCAGGATTTGTAGGACTCCAGTAGCTGACCCTTAAACTGGTTGCACAGAAGGAATGCAACTGTGGCCAGCAGCACAGGCAGAGCACTCTCTGCAGACCCCTATTTGAACCACACCACAACAGCCCCCAAATTTCCTGACTTGTGGCCTCCCACAGGGCAGTAGAATGGAGTTGGGAGCTAGTGCAGGCTTGTCCCTCAGACTAGCATGTGTTTTCAGAAAGTGTCACACTGCTCTCAGTGTGAGAGATTCCTCTGCTACCTTGTTTCTGCTCCCACAAAAGGATGGCAGTTGTTCTTCCCAGGCTCAGGAAACCCCTTTGCTCCGAGGAACACCAGCAGAAGGGCAGACATCACCCCATCCCCACACCATCTAATAGCCAGCCCCAGGGCAGGACCTGGGCCAGAGGCTGCAGGACTGCGGCGTTCCTGCCGTTACCTCCAGCGTGGTGCTGACCCAAGCACCAACCAACTACAGGCGCAGCCGCTTGATATCCTCGCTGCGGAAGTCAATTCGGAGAGCCAGCACTTGCCGAACCTCAGCGGGAGTAAGGCGCCATGTGAGCGGGCCTGAGTTCGGGCCCCAGTAATCCAGGATCTCTGTCACCTGGAGAAAGAGGAGAGCTGCAGGAGACAACTCAGCACCAACTGCCCTCACAGGGGAGTTCAAACTCCAGCTATGGTCACAATATTTCCTGCCACTAACCCCTGCAGGCAAACACTCATCAGGCACGGGGCAACTTTTCCAGCTTCTCCATACCCTATAGGTGTGACGACATCTGGATGAGCCTAGTAAATCTATGTGGAGTCCAGCTGGGGCTCCCGTAAACCCCCAATAAAAGCAGGCAAAGTGCAGCTCACCCTTTCCAGATTGAGGATGGTGGCCATCTGGGAAAGACGGGCAAACTTGTCACGGATAGTCCAGGTGGTGACTGTGGTGAGATAGGCTATGAGAGACCTCAGCTCCTTGTCAAACTGCAGACCGCCAAGCTGTGGGGACCAAGGGAGCTCTGTTAACTCTCCAAGCAGGTTCAGGGGTTGTGCCAAACACAAACAATTACCAAAAGTTACAGGGGAGCAGGGGGAGGTCTCTGAGCAGGAGGGTTCCAGTTAGACCATTTACTGCAAGTTAAACTGGCACCTTAAAAGCCAGCCCTCTTATTGATGCAAGCGCTTCCCAGCCCCATCACAAAATACACTTTCTCCCTGTGTGTGCTCATGCAAGGTCTCCCTGAGCTGGCCACCAGTGGTGCCAGATGTTCTTTGAGGGTAATGTTTGCCTCTGCCCTGCACCACCCCTTTACTGACGGTTTCCTGGTGGAGGGTTTGCAGTCGAGCCAGACTACAGGGTAGAGGAGAGTGTTTTGCTTACCCTGCTGAAGGTGGACTTGAGCAGCACTTTCTCGAGTTCGATAGCTATAAGACTGGTCATAAGACCAGTGAGGGTATCGTAAATCACTGGAGACAGTCCAGCCTGGAAACAGAAGCCTGTGTCATTCTTGTCAGGAACAACTAAGCAGAGGTCCACAAAACGCAAGCCTATGAGAGCTTTCAAATAAAGGCCCATCACTTGCAGACTCAGCGAGTGGAGAGTACTACAGAAGCAATCCAGGTACGTGGGGCTTGCAAGCTGGCTTTGAGAATTGCAGAAGGGGGTGACTGGGCCTTTAAGAGCCCTGCAAGGCACTGGAGGACATCTCTGTCTGCCATTCCCCTGAGCAGGGGAAGAGTTGGGAGATGCCACGTGGAGGTCTGGCCAAAGCCTGGCAGGCTGCCACATCCCTCTCTCTCACCTTGAACTCTGTCATCTGCTGTTCCAGATTGACAATGAACTGCTGGACCCAGGGATCGTTAGCTTCATAGTCACTAAACTCCTCCTGATAATGAAAGACAAAAAGGGTGGTTTATGTGGCCTGCCATGAACTGCAGCAGCAAACGGCCCGGAGGACAGGAAGGGACGTCCCTCCTGGAGCAGCATTGCACCCTTTCCATTTTCCCAAGCTCCTCTCTAGCAAAACGCCCCCTTCCAGGCTGGGGTGCAGAGCAAGTTCTGGGTATTTCACTGTTGCTCTGTGCTGAGGAAACAGCGAAGAACTGAGGGGAATGAGACAGCAGTTGCTCCAACTGTGCTGCTGAGCAGAGGATGGAGACTGCAGAAGTATGGCTGGAAGCAGAGGATGCTGAGCCTTACCTCCTCGATGTTGTGGGAGACAGAGAGGAATAGGTTGATCCAGGGCTTCACCTGGGGTTTGATGGCCGTGCTGTTCAGCTCGCTGAGACCTTCCTGGGGAGGGCAGCAAGAAGAGAGGAGACTGACTGAGCACAGCTAACGTCCAACGGCACACAACCTTTAGAGCCAGGCTGTCTTGATGCTGCCTGCCTCCCATCCTCACTGCAAGCTGGGGAATCGACCCACAGACTTGCACAGGAAACTGAAGTCCCAGATCCCACACTCTTCCGGTGCTGGAGGGCTCTGAGGACACCACAACAACAAGACAACGAAGGTTGCTGGCCCAGAAGCTGCTGCTGTGCTGACTTGCAGCCTCGTCTGAAGGGCTCATGCTTCCCCCACCCCTGCCCACACAGCTACAGAGGTTTCCTGGCAGGAGAGAGGCATTCAGTTCACACCCCACCAGGGCAGGAGAGGACACAAACACCAGCCTTTCCACTCAGCACCAGCCAGGAGGACACTGTGATTGGGCTCAACTGATGCCTCCCCACTCCAGTGCAGCTTAGCTCAGTAGGAGAAGCTAAAAGGAGGATAAAAGCTGTAACCACAGTTAGTTCCCTGAATTAATCATAACCCCAGCACATGCCATCTCCCCCCGCTTCGACACTAGAGAGCTCTCTGAAAGCCCTCTCCTTGCAACCACCCCCATTTGGCTCAGCAAGATGTCAAGAAAGCTCACCCAGCATGAAACTGTTCAGGTACCAATACTGCCTGGCATTTGATGGAAGTTTTTAACTAAAACTGGCATTTCTGAGCAGGCCCTGCTGGCAACTGTCCTTTTCCAAGGCAAATTCAATGTGCGTGCAACTCAGGCAGCGTAGGAGCTTGCTGCTCAGCCTCTTGATTACTTTGCAGCCAGTTTTAATACTGCACTAGAGCTAGACTGGAGACTTTTGCTCCTTACTGGTGAGCTCTTTGGTTTTGATACTGACCACAAGCCTCAAGAGGATTCACTGGCAATACCAGTCTGAAGGTATCTGGCTGCAGTGAACTGCAAAGCCAAACAAAAAGTAGTCTGGCCCCACTGTGAACTACAAAGCTGATGGCAAACCTGGTTCAAAATATTCTCTTTTGCTTGGTTTCTTTCCACAGGAGGTATTAGGTGTTCCTGCTCCTCTCCCTGCCAGAGACAACTGTGAAATTTTAGGGCAACAGGCCCTAGCATGCCACACGAGACAGTGGATTTAGCCAGAGTGCCTTCTGCTCCATGCCGGGGAGTATTTCCAGTTGGGAAAGCAGGAGAAACCTGAGAGAAGAGCAGCACTTCTCTACCAACAGCCCGTCTTCAGCGTTACCTAGTGAGGCTCTGGACAACTTGACAACATGCTGTGCCACATGGGAGAATGGAGAGGGAAATGCTATTAGTATTTCTTCTGAAAATGCTGAACCAACTACAACTCTGCTGAGTGAAGACAAATGGAGCAACATTCCTTCTGGCTCTGCAGCTGCTTCCAGTGCTTTTTATGCAGCTGCCAGCTGGTGCGGCTGTGCAAATGGGCTGGATCTGTTTCTATGCCTCTTTCCATGACTGATTTACTCCCTCCTGCACCCCTACTCAGCAATCCTGGAGTCAGACATGGCCCAGGCCTTGGGCTGCAATGATTCCTGCCTGAGCTCTCCCTGAACACACCATCCAGCCAGTGTTGGAGGCCAGCAGTAACTCAGCAAGACACTCACCTGCAGCAGGTCACGAAATTTGTTGGAGACAGCAGCCATGTCAGAGAGGCAGCTGTCAATCTTGGCCTGTGCTTGCTCACCCCCAAAGCCTTGGCTAAGCAGTTTGCTGCAGTCACTCTGCAGGGAAGATATCCACAAGCAAGTTGCAAATTAATAACCCAGACAGTTTCTATCCCTTCATGTTGTGAGCTCTGGCTGCCCACCTGCACACTTGCAGGCTAGGACAGGTGCCAAACTCTTGCCCCTATGAAGGCAGAGGCTGCTGGATCCAGCTGGGGAGAGGACAGCAAGAAAGGAAGCCAGGAGCTATCTATCCTAGCGCCAGAGAACCACATGTGAATCTCAGCGATGCACGTTTTATACCACTGGCTCCCGGCCTGCGCCAGGTTGGTCAAGTTGGAGAAACTGGTATTTCCAGCTGTAGCAGCCGGAGATTGCTCTGCCAGCTCAAAATTGCTTTCCTAAGGCTGGAGGGCAAAGACCTCAGGAATTTGGGCATAGCAAAGTCCAGATGGTTTACTTGACCCCCCAAGGGAGGATATTACAAATTTGATTAAGGAAAAAAGAGTAAAGAATCCAGACTGCACCTCCAAATTCTTCTTTAGGGTCATGATGTTTTCGCTGCAGACTTCCACATTGTTTAAGGTCACCTGGAAACAAACAACAAAACAAACCCAAGTAGAATTCATTGGAATTTCCCAGCACCTCAGCCCCAAGTCCATATGTTTACTCCATACCCTGCTCACAGTACAGGCTGAAATGGAAATATTTAAGGAACAAAGTTGAACAAAGTTGATCAAAGCATTGCAGATTCATGGAGCTGAATGAAGCTCAACTACAGTAACTGAGCACGTATACTGAACCTGCAGCTAGTACAAAGTTTGAGATAGTTCACTCCACTTCTTTTCCTCATCATTCTGTCCATGATGTTGCAGCGAAGCCCCACTTATGGGTGACTGGTGGAAGACAGGATGTAGCCCCAACTTTCTGTGACAGTGTCATGAAGAGCAATAGACCAGGAGTGGCTGGAGGTGGTGGCTTATACGCTGTGTCCAGAGAAGCAGGGGAGGCAGGAAGGCATTCGTATCTAGACAGGAGGAATCAGCACCCCTCCTACCAGATGAGTATCTGTTCTTCACTGAACAGATTGTTCTCTACCTGCTGAAGCTGAACGAAATGTCAGTATAAGGCTGGGGTTTGTGCAGACAGGGAAATGAGCCAAGCTGACAGGTGAATGAGGAATTCCAGTGGGAGAACTGACATTTTAAACTCTTCAAGAAATGCAGAAACCTGTAACCAAGAATTTAATGAAATTGGAAGAGTTAAGTCCCTCCTGCTCCCTTTGTTGCCTTCTTGTTGTCCCAAGAAGCCTCTTCAGCACTAGGTGTTCACAGCAACTTATAGAGAGGAAGACAAGTCAGGGTGAGCCAGCCCCTCTCCAGCACTCTTAGGGTCTCTGCCCACAGGTCTGCTCAAACAGCAAGGCTGGCTGAGAGGAGAGAGCAGATCCAGAGCTGCTCTCCCAGTGAGGTCTTTTCCACAATGCAAGGTCTATACAGCATCCCACCACGAGGAAGGATGTGTTAGGCTGCAGGAGATGGGAGCGACGGCCCTTCAAATGCTCTCCAAGGAGTCTCTAATGCTCACTGCCATGTTCTCGCCTGCCCAAGCACGCAGACTTGCAGTGCTGCTGTTAGGAGAAGGCAACAGGAGTATCTTGCAGTCCAAGCAGAGCAGACAACCCTGCTCTAATGGAAACTCCAATCTGTAAGTGAGAATGAAGGAGCCCTGAGCTCAGGCCAAGAAAGTTTCTCATCTAGAGGAAGGTGTGGATGAGACACTCTCCCACCACCTTTGTGCAAAGCCTGTGAAGAACAGGATTGAGGGACACCTCGAAAGAGCACAGACTCTTCCCCAGCCTGGAGGGAATCATCATCTCAGCAGCCTAAGAGGCAGACACAGGATCATACTCAGACAGGTGTGGTGTGGAAGCCCGAAAAACATGAGGTGAGGTAGAAGCATCTACCAGACATCCAAAGTCAGGCCACCCACCACACCTGAACAGGCTTTCCAGTTCTCTGAACATGTAATAGTCACACCAATCCCGTTCCCAAGAGCTCCCTATTGTCTTTCCCCTCACTCCAACTCATTCTACACCAGAACAGCCACCAAACCCACCAGAAAGGACTGCTTGGCCTCATCGGTGCTTTCAATGCCTTTGGTATCGAACTTGCCCTGCTGGAGGCTGCTGTGCATGATGTTCACGGCACTGGTCACCCCTCTCTGGAAGTCCTGGAAGGTCGTGGCTGGAAAGCCCTGCTTCAGCTTGTTGTACAGAACCTCCCTATGGGGCAAGCAGAACATATCAGGGCTTAGAGCAAATACTGCAAGCCACAGCAGAGTTGTGCTCTGTGACAGGGGACAGCACTCTGGCTGAGCTGTGACCTTAACAAGGTAAGTGGAACTTCACAGGGACAAATGAGGGCTGGCAACTACCTCCTGATAGCACCTAAAGGACACAAGGCTGAAAGAAAAACACACCACCCAGTTTCTGAGCTTTCCCAAAAATCCTGCCTGCAGCTCTCTGCTGTCTTCAGTCACCGTTCCCCACTCCCACACTGGGCTGAAAAACAGGAGCAGGACAATTTCTGCAGGCTCACCCCAAGTTCAAGTTACTAAGCAATCTCACAGGCAACCCAGAGAACAATTAGGGGTGACCATGTGCCAACAAGCAGGGTAGCACTCAATGCTACGTGGTAACTTGGTCTCATAGGGATTTTGGGCCATGAGGTTCCTTTTTCTGTTTGTCCTATAGGTGACCACCACTACTGTGAGAAAAGTATGCCCTGCTCCAGCTTCCTACACCACACCTGATGCTGCTTCCTTACAAGCATCTTCCATGGAGATGACAAACCAGAGGTTCAAAGGTGAAGAACACAAGGAAGACCATCTGACAGCAAACACTGTTTGCAGAACATGAGGTAGAGGCAAGTTACAATGAACCAGGTGTATTTTCATTACCTGAAGTCAGACTCCAGCTCGGTGGTGGAATGGTTGATCATGGCACAGAGACAGTCTATGCTGGAGCTGGACAGAGCACGCCCAATGCACTTCTTCACTATATAAAACACGTCATCCACCATGCTGGAGGTGAGCTGGCCCTTCTCGTAGCTGTCCATGGCAACAGCCTGCAAAGAAAGCTGTCTCAGTGCCCTGAGCTCAGTGAGCAAAGGTGCCTTCTCAGACCAGTGTTGTGAGACCAAATTGCCAGCGGGCCCATTTCACCCTGAGCTGAACTGTACCATGTGTGGGCTGGCACCATCTTAGTTTTCAGTAGCCCATAGACCTAGAATATCTGGCTCTGGAAGATACTCAGGGGTATGTTTGGACTCGAAGTTCAGAAACAACTACTTGCTTTTCAAAGTCAAGGGAAACAAAAGACCTTCCCAGCAGCTGCAGACCTGCCATGTACTCATCTCCCTCCCTAGGGATGCTCAGCAGAGGACTGTGGAGCACATGCAGAAGTCTCAGCTGCTGGCAGAGAGCGCAGGCTATTTATTGCAAGCAGAGTCTGAGCCCTACCTTGTTGACGGTCTCCCTCATGAAGTATTCCTCCATGGTGATGTAGTAGCCAATGAGCTCTTGCATGGTGCGGCTCAGCAGACAGTTGTTCAGGAGCTTGTCCAGGTATTTTTGATGCTCTACAGAACACAAAAGAGAACCATCAGACGGGACCAAGTGCCAGAAAGCAGTTCCACCTAATCCCCTTGCTGCCTGTCTCACGGGCACCCAGCGGACACACATCTGCAAAGCCCAACCTGGAATAAATCACAGGCCTCAGCTGTGGAGCTGAAATTGCTGAGCTGACTTTTGCAGGTGACAACAGTGACTTCCAGAGCTCCATGGAATACCAAAACCCTGAGCCTGTTTTCCCTGTGGCCTCCACCTTTAGGATCTGTGCCTGCAGTAACTAAAGGGCCCTCCCTTTCTTTGGGGACCGTGATTATTATGCTCTGCAGTCATTCCTAATGTTGGTTTCCCTCTGTCCTGGTTTCAGCTGGGATAGAGTTAATTTTCTTCCTAGTAGCTGACATAGGGCTGTGTTTTGGATTTAGTAGGAGAAGAATGCTGATAACACATTGATGTTTTAGTTGTTGCTAAGTAGTGCTTACACCAGTCAAGGACTTTTTCAGCTTCCCATGCTCTGCCAGGTGCACAAGAAGCTGGGAGGGGGCACAGCCAAGACAGTTGATCCAAACTGATCAAAGGGATATTCCATACCATATGACGTCATGCCCAGTACATAAAGTGGGGGGAGTTGGCTGGGGGGCAGCGATCACTGCTTGTGCACTGGCTGGGCGTCGGTCAGCGGGTGGTGAGCAGTTGCATCACTTGTTTTTCTCCCAGGTTTTGTTTCTCTCTCTCTCATTGTTCTCCTTTTCATTACTATTATTATTACTATGACTATTGTTATTATTACTATTATTTTATTTCAATTATTAAACTGTTCTTATCTCAACCCACCCTTCCGATTCTGTCCCTTGTCCCACCAGGGGGGAGGGTGAGCGAGCGGCTGTGTGGTGCTTGGTTGCTGACAGGGGCTAAACCACAACACTGTGTCAGAGGGAACAACCAGTGCTGAAAACAGGTTTGAGGAGGCCAGGCTACACAATCGTCTTCCACAGAGTGCTCCCAAAGCGTCTTTGCAGATTCTGTGTCACTCTGCTCTGCCACTAACTCAGATATATCTCTACTTCTGGCTGCAAGGAGCAGAGAGCCTGCAAGTATTGGTATTCAAGGTGTTACCTTGCTTTACCTCCTCTGAGGCCATGGAGTCTCCCACCTCAAAATCGGATATTATTCGTCTCTTGATGAACCTCAAGTAGAGCTCACTGCGGGCGTTCATCAGAGTGACTTCTGTTAAAATAGGGTCAAGTTCCCTGGAAGGAACATAGCAAGAATCAAGGTAGCAAGACTACAAAAGGAGAGGCACTAATTTAACTCAGTTAAGTAGTATGTTCTCTGTTCTCTTACTATGAGATCAATACTGCCCCTTTCCATCTGCGCCGTCGAGTGGCAAAGCTCAGCAGAATGACTGGTATGTGCAAAGAATGCACATACAATCAAAACGTCCTGAAAACGTCCTGAAAGTCTTTTTTCCTCACAGATGTGAGAACAACCACATTAAAATCACAGCAGTAAGGACTGCAAGACTCTAAACAACCTGATATAACTTCAAAATTAGCCCTGTTTTGAGTAGGAGGTTGGACTAGAGACCTTCAGCAGTCCTTTCCTACCTCAGTTTTGCTACAATTCTGTGAGCCCTACATGGCCAGGGTTAGAAAGACCTGGTCCCTGCTGTCTCCATATATGTGCTTTTGTGCACAGATTCATGTGTTTCTCTGAAAATGAAGAATCTGTTTAAGCTCAACAGCTCAGGAAACATGAGACCAAAAAAGCATGTGACAATACAGATCACAGTGTTCAGATCAGAGATGACTATGAAAAAAAAGACTTGTCACATCAGCAGCTTTTTCATCAGTGTGCACAAAAGAACTTTACAAATCCTGCTCAAAGCCTCACAACACACAAGTGGGACAAGGAACCATTATCCTTATTTTACAGACAAAAAAGCAGAATCTCAGAAAACCTGGGATGCATGCACAGTTACTCAGAGCAAATAGTAAGTGGATCTCTATATAAACTGCTGAAATAATTAGTCATGCAGGCTCACAGACAGATCTCACTTGAGGAACATAAGTTTTCTTTCAAGGCATGTTTAGAAGTCATGCAATGCCAGAAGGGCTGGGTACACTTTCAAATGGCCTTACTTAAGGGGTATGCAAATACTTAAGATAAGAATAAAAGGAGGGAGATTGAAAGCACTTCAGTTCATTAGCAAGAAATTTATGTTACAGAGTTGCTGCAGCAGCAGTACAGATTAAATAAGACCCCAAAATTTATTCCTGATTCTGTCACAAATTATCTGCCCAGGGAGCTGCTCCACTTCATGGGCTCCGAGCACTGTACTGTGACCATCAAAAGGTAGTGGGCACAGGCAATTAAAGTCTCAGTCCTTTGTGTGCTGTGATATTGCCAGCCCTCCAGCAATGTTTAGGGCCAAGGCTTAAAAGTAACAAGTAAGCAAAATAAAGCACCACCACAGAAGCTGCCTTTATAAAAGGGCAGTGAAGGGCACCTACCAATTGGATTTTACGCTTTAGTAGCCACAAAGCCTCTGGACGAGCGGGAGAGTTATCTAAATGCTAAGTAGTGTTAATAACAGCTCAAGAGTGGAAGGTTAGAGAGCAAAAAGAGGTTTTGTTTGTACCTTGGTTCAATCTTCTCTGTAGAAGAACTTCTCATCATGCTATTCTGAACTTGCTGGAACTGCAATCACAAAAAAAGGGAGAGTCATCAAAGTCTTTGCTGATGACTTGGAGTTACTTGTGCTGTAGCCTAAAGAGGTGCTTACTCGGGGCGGGAGTGATAGGAATGCTTTGCAGGCAGCACTGCCAGAGAAGGGAACTGCATCAGTTCACCTCCTCCTCCAAGACAGAGCTCAGCCTGCCAGGAAGGGTGGTGGGATGGGAACTCCAACAGAGGCACCAAGATATGTGAGCATGAGACAGTTCCAGCAGCCCTGCATCAAAGAGACAGAAGCAGGAAAAAGACAGTGGAGAAGGTGTGCTGAAAGCGCCCTACAGACCTACAGAGCAAAGAATCCTGTGCCCATGGTCCATTTACCATGCTCCCAATGAATCCTCTGCAACAGAAGAGATAGCTACAGGTTGGACCCCTTCAGCCATCAGTGCAAATATGGAGTAGAGCAAGGTTTCTCTGAATATACAAGGTCAAACGTTGCCACCTCTATGGCAGTTGAAGCCTCACTGAGCTGGATGGAGGCCCCAGCTGGCTGCGTCAGGCAGCATCACACCCCTCTTACCTGCCTGTGATAGTCCCTCTCTTTGATGAACTTGTCCACCACTTTTTCCACCTGCCGGTCACACTCCACTTGCAAGTGCTTGATGAGGGTATACAGCCTCCCTGGCCCGTAGTAGGTCTCCACAATAGGTTGGTGGGTCTCCACAATGCGAGCAATCCCTGCAGGGAGAGGGGAAGCACAAGAGAGACTCAAGCAGGAGATCCCATCCAGTGTGGACCCAGAGCAGAGCTACACAGGTCCGCAAACAGGACCTAACAAGGGATCATTCTCTCCCCAGATAAAGAGTTTAGACTGTCCAGCCACTCTCTACTGCCTCACTGGAGGCCTGTCATTATGACCTCTTGTTCCACAGCATTCTTCTCTCTGCATATGACACCTTCCAGCCTCTCCACTGTTTACTGCAAGGCTGCAGTGCAAGTCTCCTGGAGTAGAAGCCATCTCTCTTCCTAAAGAGAGCTCCTGCCATGCGATGTGTGTCAGCTGCCCCCCTATCCAGTAAGACACAAGGTATGAAGCTTCCACAGGAGAAAGTTGCACGAGCTAAACCTGGCAGGGGGCATAACTGCCATCCAAATCCAGCCTCAGCTTTCAGCACCTGCCAGGTTACAGGACAAGAGCAATGCTAGGGAAATCAGCCTAGGGAAAGCTTTGCTCTTATCTGTCAGGCAGATGCCCAAGACAGCAAGTGTTAGTGAAGGCAGGACCTCCTTGGAGAAAAAGCTCATCTTCAAGGACATATCTATCCAAGATTGCTTACTTCTCACAAACTCTCTAGTCCGAGAGTTAGCGACGCTCCCCCTCTTTTGATGCTACTGCCAAAAAAGCCTCGGCAGCTCTAAGGACCTTCAGTAGCAGCAAGGGTGCCAGACTGGGAGAGTGACTTGGCAGTGGTGCAGCCTGGAATTATAGCAGACTTAATAGAGAAGGCAGTTAATCACCATGGGATCTCAATTATTGTCTTTGGCGACATTCCCACAGAGCATTCATACTGCCTTCTCTCCCTTCCCTCTCTGCTTTCAAGCTCCCATGGTCCTCCTTGAAGAGCCAGGCTTGAAGGCATCAACAGCTGCTCAGTCTTAAGGGATATGATTTGTTTTTCTGGAGAGTTGCATGCCTGAAGAAACCTTCAGGGAATACCCATTTGTTTTGAGGATGCAGAGAACAGGAAGAGCCCGATTCCTGCAGGAAGCCAACAAATCCTTTGCAAATCCACTTTGTGCCTGTGCCAGCCATACGTAGGAAAGCTTGCTTATTGTAATGCCCTCTCCCGGCTGGGAAAAAGTCTATTAGTTGTGTCCCTGTGACACTCCCATAGCTCAAAGTGGAAGGAGGCATTTTGTGATCTCCTGGAGCTAAAATTAAAAGCATTTAAATTGATGGACAATCTCATCACAGACTATTTTCAATCCATCAGCAAAGAGGAAAGGAAGAGTACCTTCGAAGAGGAGTGTCAGGGTGTCCGCAAAGATGACTGCGGCTCGACGGTCACTCATGTCTGTCCCCATCACCAGCTGCAGGTTCTCTTCTGCTTTGTTGGCCACCTGCATGACAACAAGACCAGTCAGCTGGTAACACTCAAAGATATTCTTCATCCCATAGGGTGGTCCTCTGTCCCTTGCCCTATAGAGCTTTTGCTGGCCTTTCCACTGCAAGAGCTACTGGTGCTGTTCCTCCTTTGAACAGGGATCCTTTCCTCTCTTGTGGAAAACTCAAGGATCATCAAGAGGCAGAAACCTGTTCTTCTCTTTCCAGACTCCCTTGTATGAGCTTTAAGCAAGCACAAAGAGCAAGACACCACAGGAGAAGCCAGCCAGCCAGCAGGATCTGTATTCAGACACCAGAAAGCCCATCCCAGGATGCAAAATGCAGGCAGAGAGATGAACTAAGGCCAATGCAGGTTTCTAAGATTAACAAGCTGGAGCCAAGATCTCCTTCCGCAACGTCTGTTGACAGACTGGGTTTTGCATTCCCCTAGGAGACCAGGCAGGTCACAGTATGTTTCACAGAACCTGTTACCTGCTTGCAGAGGTACTCCGAGAACTTGCTCAGCCCCTCTTCATGTAAGCCTAGCAGAGGAAAGATCTTGAAGAACCGTTCCACCTGGGGCAGGTCTCCGTGCTTCATAGCTGTGTCGAACTTCTCTGCGACAATTGTCTTCAGGCGCTGCTCTGCCTCCTGCAGGAGCTTCAGGTTGGCATCAATTATGCCCCCTGGTCAAAAGGACAGAAAAGAAAGGGAAAAGTGACAGCACGATGTTAGTACTGTATCAAGGGCTACTTTTTTTCCCAGGAGAGAGACCAACACTGTGCAGCCCAAGGGTGAGAACACAGAAGACACACTGGAGTTCCCCTACAGGCAAAGAAAGATAGGTACGTGTGTGATGTACACACAGCTAATGTCGTGGTCTTGCATGGAGCATGCAAACACATCAACCAGGACATTTCTTTTAGGGATCAGGCAATTTAATCCTTCATTTCCAGTTGCTCTGCTTCATAGCACATCATAACACTGCAACAGTTCTCCCTGACAGAGCCTTCTCCCTCACTTCTTTTGTCCTGCACATTTTGTCCTTCACTAGTCAGCACCTGAACTGCTATTAAAGCCATGTGCCAGGAACTCTTTCAATTAATGATAATTCAAACCTAATAACACTTCAAAAACATTCATCTCTGTGTTACTCTACAACATACTAAGATCTTTGCCTAGCACTAGATCTTCTGCTTTGTCTATTGAGCTGAGGCTATCTGCCATGAGAAATCATGCAGTCTCTACTTATCTACTGAGAAGGTGACTTATCAGCTTCTCCTCATGAACAGTACTTACCTTCCTTGCCCTGACGACTGAGCTCAATCACCGATTTGTCCAGAGACAGATAGCGATGGATATGAGCTGCTGCTTGTTCATAATCTTCATTTCGCAGGGCTGTTTGAACTCCATCCATGCAGAACTTCAGGTCAAGGATGTCGTCAGCTCTCTGAATGGCCTGATAGAGTCGATTCTGCAAGAAAGGCAACCAGTAAGGCTTCCTGCTGCGGGCTGGACCAGGGAAAGAGAATTACGAGAAGACAGCATGGGGGGAAAAAAGAAGGAAGAAACATACTGAAGCAATACTACTCTACACAATAAACAACTATGTAAGCAGAAACCCCAAACTACTTAAAAAGTCCTAAGATCAATGACTCCAAAGGATGAACAGCATTTACCTTCAAAACTCAGATTGAACTCAGAAGCCATACTCTACTGTAACAAACAGGCAGAGACCAGAGACACAACCACACATCATCCATTTTGATTTAAGCAGTTGTGCTGGGACCTGATGCCTCTTAGCCTACCTCTGTACAAAGAATATGACAGCCCGGATTCCTGACTGCTCTTGGGTGACAATCACCATCTCCATCGTCCTCAGCACTGCAACAGTCAACAAAACAGTGCTAACAAAGACTAACCTCAGCTTATTCACCACATTCTACCAGGAGCTGCAGGGACAGAAAGGGATGCTGGAGAACCAGCTGCTATATGGAAATTCATATGCATTATTTACTCTTATACCATGCAATATCCAGGAACCTAGCAAGATACCATCACCTAACAACACTAGGAAATGCTAAAACAAAGAACGAAGCAGTTTCCAGCCCACATGCCCACTGAAAAAAAGAGCCTATTTCTCTATTGTGCTGTGAGTACATGAGCAGACAGAATATGGCTTGGTGGTGACAAGTCCCAAACATTCCCTTGGTCCAGTTACCTTGGCAAGGTCAAGCTGGCGGACTTTACTGCTGACATTCTCGGCCAGGTTACAGGTGAAGGTGATCATCCCTGCCAACTGCTGGGCATCCCCCTCGATGAGCTGCAAATTAGGGCTGGAAACACAAGCGAATTGAACACAAGATGCAAATACTAAGTAGTTGAATGGTCTGCAACAGCAGGATGGTTCTTCCTGCAAACCCAAATAATCCTGTCAGCAACAGTATCTCTCATTTCATGCCCCTCCTACAGGAGCAAAGCATCAAAATCAGACTGCTTTGGAAGAGGCTGCACAGACAAATGACTGTCTCACTACCAGACAAGGCATAAAGGAGCGACTGAGGCTTTATGATACTCTCCACTTCTGAAGTGGAAGATGAAGTCTCTAAACTTGTGCTCCAAGCTTCTACTAGACGTGAGGCCACTTAGGATAACTTTACAGACTGCATGCACAAGCTCACCACGAAGAGGCAGTAATATTTGTCCACACCTGTAAACAGCCTGACACAAGACATCTGATCCAAGCATTGATGCTGAAACCTGTCAATCTCTGGAATGAGACCTTCAAAGAACCGCTCAGCCTATACCAAAATGGGTCAGTCTGTGTGAGGGCACGGCAGTTCCCCCTGTTAGCGCTGCTGAGAAGAACTGGGCGCCTGGGGATGAGGATCCAACTACTGTTCCCTACCACAAAAGTCTGACATTTTCTGAGAATGAATGTACTTCTCTCACAACACTGAAACAAATTTTCACATTGTGCAGTCGGCAGGGAGGTACTGTACAGTGCGCAGAAGCAGAAAGAAGGGGAGAGGGTGGGGATCACCAACCCCATGCGATGAAGTGCAACCATCTTGTTCTCTATAGTGCTTTGCTGTTCCAAGAGGGCATCCAGCTCTTCCTGCACGACTTTCTGAAAGAAAAGGACGAAGGAAGTTTTATGCGACTTCAGGCCTCCTCCAGGCCAGCAACTTATCACAGACCCTACATCCAAGTCAAGGACATGCAGCTAGCAAGGCGTTAGCACTTCCAAGAGCTCATATGACAATTAAATCCTTCCTAAGCTCTCATTTTAATCTTGTAAATATTTATATGCATGCTATTTCAAAGCATCAGTTATGCAAACCTCATCACGCAACTGTTAAGTCAGATAACCCACAAACTCCTCGCCTGGCCGAGCTTTCAGCGCACGAGGACCTTGACTCTGCGGGCTGCCCACGATCCAGGGACACCAGTTCCGC